GCTATTCATTGATTTGACGATCAAATCACACATTTTATGAAAGTTTTGAAAATTTAAAGAAAACTGGTTAGGAATGAAAGAATGTGCTGGATCACAGGCAAAATTTCCTGACAAAACTTCAAGTAATCAATCGTCTGATGATTATGTCGGCGATGAAGATGAACAAATGGTATTATTCGTCAATTCAATAGACTATCAAGTTTTCAGTTTGTTTTTGTGTTTTTCAAATATAACAGCAAATCTATTACTATAAGAGGACATGGATGAAAGTTTTTGTCACTTATATTGCGATGGGATTAACAGCTTTTTTGCTAAAATTGGTATTCTTTTGGCGACCCATTTATTGGTTGTATTGCACTCATACCAGATGTGCGCCCATTGATGCCGATTATGTCCTCTTATATGTAACAATCATTTAATTCAATACTTATATTATTTAATTCATTATAAACTAATAGAATATTACTGTATATTAGAGTTTTGTATAAAAATTATCTTAATATACGGTATATTCGGTGAAAATTTCAGGACAAATACGATCAGGTCTTCACCGAAAAAGTCATTTCACTGAATGACAAGGATCAGCAAAAATATGTCACCCCAAAAGCTAACGGTGTGTTTGAGAGCACAGACACTCTCAGGTACTTTGAAAACAAGAAGATTCGTTACCTTTGGAGCGACCGAAGCCTTAAGTTTGAGAAAATCTATGGTTTGGATAGAGATATCCTATTCTCGGATTTGACTGAACATAAGGGACTCACAGATGAACAACAGTTTCAAAGGTAGTCATCGAATAACAAACATATCAAATGAATGGTATGCCTTAAATGAATGTATGCCTTAAATGTATGATATATTCTGTCAGAACTATTCTGTTTGGAGAGAATAAGATTGAAATCAAAGTGCAGTCTTTGTTCGCAATCCTATACCAAGAAGTGTTGAGTCCTTTCTATGTCTTCCAATTGGCGGCAATCATATTGTGGTGTTTGGATGAGTACTACTATTACGGAAGTTTCATTCTTGCGATGTCTTTGGGATCCCTTATGTCGAGTACATTTCAAATCCGTAGAAATCAGATAAAACTTCGCCAAACAGTGGGCGGAGCGGCTATGATTGAGGTCTGCAAAGGAGGAGACAATTATCAAACACAAGTGTCCAACCATTTAGCGCCTGGAGATATCATAGTATTGCCATCAAGTGGTTTTGAGATGGTTTGCGATGTCGTACTCCTTAGCGGTAACGCCATTGTCGACGAAAGTATGTTAACAGGAGAGAGTGTTCCGGTCATGAAGTCTGCTCTTCCGGCCGGTCATACGGACTTCAATCGCAAGCATCACTTCAAACACATTATATTCAGCGGCACTAAAGTAATCCAAACTCGATATTACGGACACGAAAAAGTCAAAGCAGTTGTCATTCGCACCAGTTTTCAGACGGCGAAGGGAGAGCTCGTCCGGTCCATCCTTTTCCCAAAACCTGTGGACTTTAAATTCAATCGACACATCATTCAGTTCATTATGATTATGCTTTGTATAGCCATCAGTGGTTTTATCTATACATTTGTCATCAAAATCCAAAGGGGAGACTCCATCGGAGATATCATTATCAAAGCTCTCGACTTAATTACTATAGGTTTTCCACAATTAACACTTTTTCTTATTCTTATAGAATCTAATTGTATGTATATTTTATAGCCGTTCCGCCCGAACTACCGGCCTCTCTGACAATCGCCAGTATTTTTGTGGACAATAGGTTGAGAGCGAAGCAAATTTACTGTATGTCTCCCAAATCCATTAATATGGCCGGTTGTGTGGACTGTATTTGTTTCGACAAAACCGGAACACTTACAGAGGATGAGCTTAGTTTAGCCGAAGTTTTGCCCACAGATCTCAAGAGCAAACACTTCGCTGAACCCATTATTAGTATTGATGAACAAGAGGTATCTCCTCTATTGATCTGTTTGGCCAGTTGTCACTCATTGACAATATTGGACTCCAATATAATCGGCGATCCGTTGGATATAAAAATGTTTGAATCGACAAAATGGGTGTTAGAAGAGCCGGAAGTGAAAGACTCGAATAAATATGATTTATTGGCGCCGACTATAGTGAAACCGGCAAATGTGTCGGGTATAGAGGGACCACAGGTGGGCATTTTGCGACAGTTCCCCTTTTCATCCAATTTAAGCCGAATGTCTGTTATAACCAGACTATTAGGAGGGGACTCATTCGAGCTCTACGTTAAGGTACTATATATTAATTAAAAGTGATATAAATTCATGAAATTTGATCGATTATTGTATCCAAAGGGCGCACCGGAAGTAATCGCAACGCTTTGTGATGTGAATTCAATTCCCAAAGATTTTGACCGAAAGTTGAATGAATACACAGAGAAGAGCTATAGAGTGCTGGCTGTGGCCTATCGACCACTTCTTAACATGAATTACAAGTCCGTCCAAAGGGCAGAACGAGAAGAGTTGGAAACTGATCTCATTTTCTTGGGATTAGTTGTTATGAAAAATAATCTGAAGGATAAGACCGTTGAAACTATCGATGACTTAAAAAACGCTAACATAAGGACTCTTATGGCGACCGGAGATAACTTAATGACAGCTCTGAGTGTGGCTCAAGAGTGCCATTTGATTGGCAAAAATGATTCAATCATTTTAATCGATAGCTATACAGACAGCGAGGGAATGCCTAAACTGGAGGCCAAATACCGAGAAACTATTCGTGATTTTAATGAATCTCCAAAAGAAAAATCAAAAAATTTTGTGAATTTAGATATGGATAAGAGATCGCATTTGGCTGTAACCGGAAGTACATTCAAAATAATTCAAGACTACTATTCATACCTTGTGCCGAAACTAATAGTTTGCGGGACAGTATTCGCGCGAATGTCACCCGAAAACAAACAACAACTCATAGAATTGCTGCAGAAATATGGATACATCGTCTCAATGGTAAGCACCGGTATCTTAAACTTTATTTAAAATTCTTTATTCTTTTGTTAATCCTATAGACAGGTGACGGCGCTAATGATGTGGGAGCTATGAAAGCATCCAATTGTGGCGTAAGTTTGGCCGAAACGGAGGCGTCGGTGGCCTCTCCTTTCACGTCAAAGACCCCAAACATCTCTTGTGTCCCTATTTTGCTTCGGGAGGGCAGGGCTTCGTTGGTGTCGGTGTTCGGAGTCATTAAATATATGGCCTGTTATAACATCACTGCTTTTATTGCTGTACTCATCCTATATTCGGTACAAATGTCTCACTAATGTTTCATTCGCGTAATCATTAGTAATGAATATATTATACAATTTCAGTTTAAGTCAAACATAACGGATATCGAAAATCTATATCAAGATATGTTCGTTGTATCGCTTTACGTGATTTTATGTAAGTTTTTCATAAATGGTTTAAAACTTTTCTAAAACCAATTGTCGTATAATATACTGAACAGTCGGTCGAACGGATGCCTATCACAAGTTGTCACCCTTTAAGCCGCCGACATCTCTCATCAGTTTGACTCAATTGTCATCAATCTTATCGCATATACTACTTGTGCTGATCTTCCAAATGGCAGCCGTTGTCCTCCTTTGGGAACAGAGTTGGTATAAACCACACCATCCAGACGAGGAACTCGACTACAAGTCTCACGACAATTATGCCGTCTTCACGATCCAAGTCTTCCAATACATTACTCTCGCAGTTGTCTTCTCGAAGGGAAGTCCTTATAGGAAACGATTCTATACTAACAGTAAACACTCATTCAATTCAATACATTTTGCATTAAATTAATTAATTAATTATAATTATTTTTCAGTACTATTCCTGATCTCCCTTATTGTGACCACTATTATAACCCTCTGGATCTGTATAGCACCGGACAGGCCTCCCAATGGGATCGAAAAAGTTTTTGAAGTATGTTTTAGCACTTTATTCTCAAGAATACAATAATATTTAATTGAATTTCTTTTACAGATTGAAACGGAAGGCTTTACATATGAATTCCGTATGATTTTAATCGGTCTCTGTTTCTGTCACTTGATTTTAGCTCTAATTCTTGAGGTATTTTGCAATTATGGCTCAAATGTGTGATACAGTGAACTCATATTGAATGTGTGTTTAGGAGTATATAATTGGGAAACTAATCGCAGAGAAATTGGTTGGACTCACCAAGGAAACCAAATATATGAAAATACAAAAGCAATGCCTGGACACCGATTGGATCAGTTTGAAGTGATCATACAATTAATATTTACACTATGATTGAATTTTAAAATGTAAAAAATAAAATGTAATAATATAAATAAAATATATACTTGGTTTTGAAAATGTTAAATTATTTCTTTTGCACAAAAATGCATTCATTTCTTACAGCGCTATTGCAATCGAGTGATACAGTAGTCATACGACTGTTACTGAAATAAGCATTAATTGAATGAATGCTTGTTTTCATAGCGCTGTAAGAAATGATGCATTTTTGTTGTCGGAAGCGATTTTGAGAGCATTTGGTGACTCAACCTCCTTCTCAACCATAGCTTTCACTCTTAATTAATTTATCTAACCTTTATCAGTCAAAATAATTCCCTACTTTTAATCAATATCAGCGCATTTGTAAATGAGCCAGGGACTTACCAAAACATTGAAGGTTGACAGCCTTTGATGATAAAAATAATACATCTTTTGTCACAATTTATAAGCCATTGAATGCATACAACAATTGATGTCAACAATTAAGATTGATATTTATTGACAGATAATTCAAAACGAAAAGTTTGCCACAAAATTAATTTGTTTGTAAATATACTTTTAAATAACATTTAGTGAAAAAATGGCAATAAAAAATTAAACATAAAGTTTACAAAGAATTAAGACTAAAAAAAGTTACAATTTTTA